TGGATGAAAAATTTTATGTGATCGGTGGGATGACTAATCCTACTGATTCTTTGACTTGTGGGGAAGAGTTTGATCTACAAACGAGGAAGTGGAGGAAAATTGAGTGCATGTATCCAAACGTCAATAGAGCTGCTCAGGCACCTCCTCTTGTTGCAGTTGTTAATAACCAACTATATGCAGTTGAATATCTAACCAACATGGTAAAGAAGTATGACAAGAAAAAAAACTCATGGGAGGTATTGGGAAGACTTCCCGTGAGGGCTGATTCTTCGAATGGTTGGGGTCTTGCTTTCAAAGCATTTGGTGAAGAACTTCTTGTGATAGGTGGCAATAGGGGTCCAGAAGGTGAAGCTATTATATTGAGTTCTTGGGCACCAAAATCAGGGTGTAAAGACGGCACCTTGGATTGGAAGGTCATCGGCCTAAAAGAGCATTCTGGTGTCTTTGTATACAATTGTGCCGTGATGGGTTGTTGAGAAGTTCATCCAACCAAATGGAGAAAGAAGTCACTCGTTTCAACCGTTGTTTCTAGCGTAATTCCAACACATTGTTTGATTTATTAGTATTTGATTTTTATTTAACATCTTTCAGGTGTTTGAGATAAGCAATTGTTCTAGCTAAAACGTCCTCTTAACTGGATGGTTATTTTCACTCACTCATTCTCCAGACTGCTTGCTTCCAGATTTCGGTTTTCACCTTGTTCATTGAGTTAATATGGTTGATTCACTGATCTACATGATACTAAATAATGGATATTTCCCCTCTTATGGGTCTGAATTTCCTTTCCTGAGGCTTCATACGCGTTATTTTTCTTTCTATTCAACAAGCTATAATTCATGTTGATGTTTACAGTTTTCCTTGGTGATTTGTTCTCAAGGTTGTCTTATTTTGGTCTGGCTTTACTTTAGAGTGAATAGGAAACTTGTTCTGCGCGATGAAGGAGATATCATTAGCTCACTCGTCTTGGTTTAATCTTCCTTTCGACTGTAAATGCGTAAAACACTCATTTGATGTAGGGATTTTGGAATGAGCTTGTTGTATTAAGTTGAATCTGTTCTTGCTCTTCTAAGGTGTATTGTAATGGTTTTGAAGGGGTTCAGTTGTATTGTATCCTCCTTTATTGGAAATTATACTATTGCAAATAGGATAAAAATGTCATTTTTTTGGTGTGTATATATTTTAGTATGATGATGATAAAAATGTCATTTTTTTTGGTGTGTGTAAATTTTAGTATGATGATGATACAAGTTTACTAGGTTTCTCGTGAGAGGTAGCAGATATCCTATAAAATTAGTCGAGGTGTGTAACCTGGTAGGATCTCAAGTTCCAAGACCTGCATAGACACAGAAAGAAGAGATGTACACTGTTGATATTTGTTAAATTCAGTAAAGTCTGAATTATGCACTTGTCCTCCACTCAAAAACAAATTTTGGAATTTTATTTCCTTAAATCAACAGTAAAAGTGCCAGTTATTTTTATTATATATATATATATATATATATATATATATATTGTTAATTTTATTTTTTCTGACACAAATTGATGTGCACTGGATTTTTCTCTAATTGTTTAACATAACAAAAGTACAACTCAGTAAGCATCTTTTCTTCAAACACAAAACATAACCAAAAGAATATTCTTGGATAGGAACTCTTCAACAAATTGTCCATTACGGAAGTCATTCTCATCTCGATCCGAATTTTTTCGATCATAATTCTATCTTTCTTAGTATTTCATGCATTTATTTCACCTTTTTCATTTCCGCTACATTTATTTTTTGGACGTATGAATTCTTCAACAGCCAACATTTTGTCACATTACAACATAAATTTCTATTTTGCAATGTAAATAATGCTACCTAATTAGAAATTGTGACAAAAGTGTTCATGGAGTGGGACATAAATTCATTATAGAATTACACGATACTTGTGTTGATGAGAGATGATAATTGCTGATAGAATAAATCAATTTATGTGCAAGTTGATTTAGACACCATCGTTCAAAATAAATTCATATTTTTGGCAAGCTGTAAATCTCTAACAAAAAAATATTCAAATTTAATTGATCTTTAAATCGTTTAACAATTCTAAACAAAATCAACTGCTGAATACATTGACACCACTTAGACTGACAACTAATTTCATTTAAATACTCAAATTACGACATATTTTATATTTGTGCGTATTTTTAAGCACCTATTATGTAAATAGAAACATTTTATCGTTGTTTGACTGTTTCATCAGAACAAGCGCTTTAGCCTAAAATGTGCTTCATTGAAACAAATTGCAATTTTAGTGTAATAAATCTTTTTGATAAATTTAAGAGATTGTCGATGTATTTCATCGTAATCATTCTTTATGTATAGTTAAATATTCAAAATTCCAAGGAAAAAAAAACTGGAATATTTGTTGCAGGATTTGGTTTTTTGTGATGGGAGTATTTATATCTATGCACATGCATACAGTAAGTGAAAAAGGAAATATTATTATTTTTAATGAAAAAAAGAATCTGACTTTAGTTTATGTGAAAGGTATGGTATTTGCAGAATTTGTGGGACTCATGTGGTTGTACTAAATTTATTTATTTTTCTAGAAAAAGCAAATGCCTTATTTGGACAAAACTTTGGTCATTTTTGTCCATTTTGATATGTCATTTTTAGCCCATATTAGGGAAGAAAGAAATGCAAATCCCCCTGCTTTTTGGGATTGTGGGAAAAAAATAATTTTTTTTTAACTTTAATTTAATCTGTACATATATGTAAAATAATTTAAATTCTTAGTTTAATGTTAGCAGACTCAGCACTATGGTTTTTTTATTTTTTACTTTCTAGGTTATGCAATTAAGTGCTAATTTTTAAATTAAGAGTACTAACTCTTGTATGTATGTGTAAATACTTGTTTTTCTTATTGAGATACTTGAGTCGAGGGTCTATAGGAAAGAAAAAAGTTCTACTTTCATAAGGTTGGGTAAGGCTATGTGCACAAAACACACGACTTTCTTCATAGCTCACTTGTAAAAGTTATACTTGGATATGTTATTGTTATATTTTTTGTAAAACTGATAGATTATAGTATTGTATACGAAATAAAGTTTATTTAAAATAAGATGGATTACGATGTCGATGGAGTTCATCGGCTACTATAGCTATGTAGTAATGTGCTTGTCAATTATGTAATTTTCATTTGTGCTAGTCGAAAGGATTGATTTATGCACAACTTAACTATTTCACGAGTACCTGCTACCTCCTGATAGTACTTTGAAATGCCCCAATGAAAGTGCAAACTCCCAGCTCTACTTTGGAGTGGGTTGGGCCATATAATTTTTGGGCCAAATACATAAGGCTTTATTTGGGTTATTTTTCTTGGCCCAAAAAGTTAAGTGGGAGCTTTGGATTGGATCATAGTGTAGTTCCTCCCTGTCTTCAAAGCAATGAAGTTTGTTTTTCTTTCGAAAAAATGACATAAATACACAACTTAGAATATCATAATTTTTAAAATTTCCTGCAATTTTCTTTAAAAAAATACAAAAATCCCCTCTCGGATACATCTCTATTGCCTTTCGGATACATCCCTCCCATTAAGTAATGTATCGTTTGCAATGTATCGGACAACCAAGGAATGTATCCGAGAGCAATGGAAAATCTGATTTTTTTTAATTGGAGAAACTTGAGGGTTAGGATGTAATTAGCCCCCAAATGTATGAAATTTCAGTAAGTTTTCCTGTTTCTTATGATTTTTTTAACTTTTTTTTTAATAGTATCGATCGCGTTTAGAGTATCGAACTAATTCACTCGCGGATGTGTTTATCGACCCAACAATGCTCACCATCAAGGGAAATGAAATGGGTCTGAATAGAGCAAAATGAACATAAAAAAGTTCATGTAATCAATCATTTCTAACTAATTTAGGGTTGAGAAGTAGTTGATTCATTAATTGATTGACTTTTTTCCTTCGAATAGTGGGATCATAACCCATTGCCTTACCACTTAGTCACATCTCACGCCACATTTAGCTCTCTAAATAGTTTAGAATTGAGACGTAATTGATTGATCGATAGATTACATTAGCCAAAAAGGGTTTAATAGTTTCAATTTGTTGCTAAAGATTTGTTTTGTTCTTTTCCTTCAAGTGTATCAAAATCAATGGTTCACACTTCAAAAGTGGTCTATCTTTTCCTCCACCATTATCGTTGAAATTGATATATTTGTGCTAAAGGCTATTGGAATCTTATACTTAGTGAGTAGTGATATCTCTTGTTTGTTCCAATAGCATCTAATGTGCTTTATCCAATTTATTTACTTCAATTACTTGATTGGAATAGAATAATAAAAAGAAATGAAAGAGCAGTCTGATGCACTATGCACGTAGTTCATGAATGCTAGAAGAGATAGAGAAGAAAAACACCTAGTATCAACTTTGCCCAACAAGGCTCGAAGTTATGAGAAAGAATCACCTAGTAATTTTGCGTATGGTGAAATTTCAAACGTGAGAGCTCATGATTATCCACTTCATTAACCATTGTGTCACACCCTTGGATGCTGGATTGAGATGTTAATATCTTTTAACAAACATGGTGTCTACGACTACTTATACACACCTCAATTAATTTCACGGAATACCAGCTACCTTCCACTAGCACATACTAATATATTTTCTTCATTTCCTAACAATCTTGAATATTTGCCACAACTATAACCATCAAGAAACCAAAATTGAAACAAATGTGGCAAACTACAAAGTGGCAATCACAATAAAGCATAGTTTTTAAAACACATAACACATATATCTTCCATAAACTTAAAGAGAAACTTACAGACAAGCAACTCACATACACACATGGACACATACACAAGACATCAAGTGCAGTTCCAGAAGGGAGAAAGTAAGATTACAGTATCAACTTTCAACCTACAACCTCCCCTCTATTTATTCCCAACAGACAATAAAAGCAAAAGTTGAAGAAAAGACAGACATAAAATGCACCAAACTCTTGACAAAACTCTAGTCTCCCCACCATTGATGAGCAAACACACCACTTCTCCTTAGAGTTTTGAAAAGGCTCATGCAGTCCCCACAAAGAGCATTTTTGCAGTCTACAGCCGAGCAGCGAAGGAACAGCTCATCAACATGGCATATTGATCCAGTTTTGAATAGTTCTGCTAGAATATTTAGCTCTGCTGCTCTAGCATTCATCATGAGGACGACATAGTCTCCGTCTTCAACTGTTTCACTAAACCAACGAATGAAGTCGAATCCTTCATGATCTAGCGGTGCACCCAAATATTCGTCAGTGTCAACAAATGGCAAAGTAGCCTCTCTGGCGACAGCAAGTCCTGGATGATACACAAAGTTAATACCAGGATTCTTCACATATAAAGACAGGGCGGAGATGTTATGATCAATGACGAAAACATTGAACAAGTGGTGAGGGATCGGATAATGAGGCTTGAATGTTCTTGCAAGAGTTGATTCTACAAATTCCCCTGCACCAACGTTGATATACACCAGTTTGTTCCTTGATGAGATGTTCATGAACTTGGGCAAGTATGAGATTTGTGTCTCAAACTGTCCAAGCTTCTTTTCCACGAGTGGCTCAAGGTGCTTCAAGTACGGCTTGTTGTTCACATTGGAAGGACAATTAGCAGGCAGCACAGAATGCACGAGAGATTCAACAATCTCTGATCGTTTCTTGAACATCACTAGAGTATACGTGCCAACCCCACATACGTGCACAACATCAGAACTCTTCAAGAACAACGAAACTGGGGTGGCAGACCTTATCAAGTTGCCTTTTATCAAGTTACCCGCGTAGAAACTACTAGAACCCACGAGCATAACACCAGTGCCCCCTGGACGTAAGACACGCTCAATCTCAAGCACCATAAGAGCTGGAACAGTAACCTTATCAAGATCCCTCGAGAACACAAAATCGAAAGAATTATTCTCATGATCAAGCTCATACATAAATCTTCTCCATACAAGAGAGAAATACGGGTGTGCATCAACACCAACAGCACTCAAGAGTCCCAGTTCTCGCAGCACCAAAGCTGCATACAACGATTTCTTCCCAACACACAATGCATTAGCATTCAAATCCAAGAAATTCTTTTCCATTAGCTCCTTAAACACATTCTTGGTCAATTTTTCATCGTCGCGCTTCATCAAAGACGCCCCAAACAGTGGAATCCCCAATCCATAAACGGGTTTAAAGAACCCGGTCACATTCATATACTGGTTAGACCCAAAGTTCAAAGGGCATACACCAAAATTCAACATTATAGGTTCAGATTTCTGAATCATATGTGTCATTTGAACAAATGACACAACAATCATAACAGTAACAAACAAGAACCCTTTCAGAATCAAACCTTTCACTAATGAGCCGTGAAGAAATTGCCATTTCAAAACCTTCATATCCATTTTTTTTCTTTTAAGATTTCTGAACTTTAAAGCTCAAAACTTTCGAGATCTATAACAGCAAAGTGAAGTTTTCACAGAAGCTAAAAAGCTAAAACAGGAGATTTAAGTCTAAAAACAACAAAATCAAACAGATTAACGAGTACAAAACCTGGATGAAGTGTGATTTCCACCCACCATTAATACCATTGTCATTTGAGATCTAAGCCATACCCTTTTCGGAACCCTTTTCCCCATTTCTTCAAACGGGTTCATACCCATCTCAAAACCCCAATTCATCACCCAAAATTGGGCTCGACCCACATCATATTTTCACATAAAAATCAAAATCTACATAATAAATTAGTCAAAAAAATTCACTCAAGAACTGAAAAGGGAATCAAGATTTGTGAAAAAAGACTGAAACTTTGGGATCTGTGAATGAAAAAGAGTGAGTGTGAAGTGAAAGGATGAAAGATGCTATAAGGAAGCTGCTGAACTGTAGGAAAGTAAAGCTCTTTGTCGGCTATCCACTGCGTGTCAAATGGTGAGAGGATTTGTGAAGTTGTTGTTAGGGAAGATAGGGTCCCAGTTAAGCTATTATTGTATTGGTTGGATTTAGGTTTTATATGGGGTTTGTGTCATCTATCAAGTGTGATTAGCGTGAGTAGTGCCAGCAAAATAAACGCGGTAACCCGTCCAACCCGTCCATATTTAATGAGTGACTTTTTATATGGATAAAATATGATTGGATATCCATATTCAATCCATAAAAATATGGGTAATATGGGTAAAATATGAATTAGCCAAATGAGTTAAGTTTCTAACTTTTATTCACTCACAATTCATGATATTACCAAATATATTGTAACTTCTCTTCCTTTTTATGTTCTTCTATAAAACTAATTATTTTTCTCTATAATTGAAAATGTGAAGTCTTTGGCCCTCCAAAAATATTTATTTTAAATGTACATTTCTTTTGTTAATTCTAATTATATTTTTTTTATTTGTTTAATTTTATATTAGATAATAAATAATAGTGTAAAATAAGCAAATCATGTACTAGTATTGACATTACTTAACGTGCATTAAGCATGTTTTAAGGTGTGTTTGCTATGCAGGAAAACATTTTCACCACTACCCTTGACCCCCGCACCCCCCAAAAAAAATTTAAGTTTATTTTTGAAAAAAAAATTAAACTTCAAAATTTCATTTTTTCACCCCTACCCTAGACCCCCCCCATCCACCCCCTACCGGCCCCCCTCCCCCCCCAAAAAAAATAATTTTAAGTTTGTTTTTAAAAATTATTTTCAACTTCAAAATTTAATTTTTTCATCCTTACCATCGACCCAGCCCCCACCCCCCAAAAAAATTTTAAGTTTGTTTTTAAAAAATATTTTCAACTTCAAAATTTTATTTTTTTCACCTCTACCCTTGATCCCCCCCCCCGCCAGCCCCCCTATTATCCCCGCCCCCTCCCCAATCCTGAAAAAAAAATTAAGTTTGTTTTTTAAAAATTATTTTCTACTTTAGTAAAAATAAAAGATATTTCTCAAAAATATTTTTCATTCATAAACCAAACACTACAAATCTTTTCCGGAAAATATTTTCTACTCACCAACCAAACATGAGAAAATAAGTCAAAAATCTACTTATTTTCCAGGAAAACATTTTCTAGATAAACATAAATTTATTTTATATTGAAAAGTTATAGGATTTTTTTTTTTTTTACTTTTATGATACAATAAAACTTAATGAAGCATTTTCAACATATTTCATCTAAAAAAAGACTAAAATATTTTCTCCATGTTGAATTCTTAAGTAGAGTACTATTTACTCATGAAAATATGGGTATACTAGTATTTTACCCAACTCATTTGTTACCCAATCAATTTTTACCCATATCAAATATGGGCGGTTGAATTATTACCCATTTTATGTTGATCCATTTTCAACCCGCCCGAATTTGACCCAACCCACCCATTTGCCACCACTAAGTGTGAGGTATAATGTATAATAATAATCTCATGATAAACGATAGGATTAACTTATTTAATGTTTTGTTGGAGGTATCAGGTAGATACCCTCCGTCATACTTTTGACACATTGATGCCACTGTCGTCCAAAAACATGTAATAATAATAACATATGAAATTGGGTTGTCAAAAATTTAGATAGTCTTTAAAATATAACAATAATAACATATTTCAATATAATTTTAGGTAGGTTCTAAGAAAAATAGAGTTTACACAATTTTATTTTTTCTTATAAAATTTTTGATAGATCATCGATCCAGATGAGTGTTTCAGTTGATTAAGTAGCTTTAGATAAAAAAAATATGAGGATGAGAAGCTTAATTTCTTTACGATGAGAATATCAATAACAAAAAAAATCAGATCACTTTAAAAAATAATTACATGTAATCATAATAATACATGAAATTAATTTGTCATAATTTTAAATGATCTAAAAACATTATAACAATATATATAATATAATTCTATAGGTAGAATCTAAGAAAATATAGTGTATATACAAAATTTAGTTTTTTTCTTATAATTTTTTTGATAAATCATTGGTCCAGATAAATCATATAAAAAAGATAAGTATGTAAAATAAATAAAATAGCAGAGAGTTCATAATGAAAAAAATAAAGAACAAACAATAAATAATAGGATAATAGAAGCAAAAAATAAAAATAAAAAGTGATAATACTAAACTAGCGTTTGGCCATAGATTTTTAAATATTTTTGGCAAATATTATTTGGGTGAAATTTCACTATGTGTTTGGCCATAGTATTTGGGAAATATATTTCACTTTTTTAGAAAAATATGATTTATACCCATAAGTTTTGAAAACTATCAAAACTAACCATAAGTTTGTATTACAAGTCAATTGGATCTTCGTTGCAACAAATAACAAGTAGTGTCCATGAAACTAGAGCAATGTGGTAATTTAGAGTGAGTGCAACAAACATCATTTCATATATCGTGAAGTAAACAAAGCACATGACTTTGTTACCCTGAGTTAATTGTTCATCATTTTCATCAACAACCATATCATCACTTTCATATTCACCGAATATTTCATCACTATCTTGGTGTTCACGTAAAATATTATGTAATACAACACAAACAACTACTATAGAGGGTGTTTTTGTAAAAGATAAAAAAATTTGTGTAAAATTTCAAATTTCAAAAGATCCCAAATAATGAGATTTCGCCCAAATACTAGAAAAAACTAGTATTTGAATTTAGGATATTTGCCAAAAATATTTACCAAATAATGACAAATTGTATGGACAAACAGTATTTGCCAATTTTTTCCCCAAATATTATTTGGAAAATCTATGGCTAAACGGGAAGAGAACTAGATAACACTCAAATCTCAATTACTTGCTAACCTTTGATTTATCTTTTTATCTGAAATTATTTTCTCAGTGAAAATTATAAATTTCATATCATATTTTGTCTAATCACTTTTATCACAAATACTATATGAGCAATAATTAAAGAATTAACCCTATATATATATTTTTTTTATCTAAAATCATCTTCATAATGAATTATCAATTCGTCATATCATATATTATCTAATCACATTATCACAGACACTATATGAGAAATAATTGGAGGACTAACCTTTAACTTCAATCTTCCATTTATATGTCTTTCTATTTAAAATTATCGTCTCAATAAATTATAAATACAACATATCATATCTTATCTAATCATTTTATCACAAACACTATATGAGCAATTATTGAAGGGATGGAAGCATGTGACATTGAAAGAGTTTGGACCGTTAATTTATTTAATTAGATTATGGTACATAAACAGTATGTCTACCACGTGGTGCATTTAATTTCGATCATTTTTCTAAGCATTCACCCCACTTACCAGATTCAATATTTCTTATATAGTTAATTTTTTTATAGAAAAAATGTTTCAAAAAAAATTAAAAATACAATTGTCTTGAATGCTTGGATTATGAAAAATAAATAAGAACGGTACAAACCACATAACAAATGAAAAATAATATTTTCTACGATAACATATGTAGTGAAATTTCATTGAGTGAGGTTTAGGAAGAATAGGATATATGCAAATCTTATGAAGGTATAAAAATTATTTTTGAAAAATCTTCAATTTACGTATATCAAATCCAAATAAATAAAAATAATAATAGTGAAGAAAAAATGAGAAAAAAATTATTTTCTATCCCACCAAATATGGACATTCAATTGTTCTTTGGTAGTCATATGATATTATGATTAAGACCAACATGGATTGTGGTGCAGTGGTGTGACTACTCCATCCTTAACAAAATATTTCGGTATGGAAAAATCCTATTGGGAGCTTCACCCACGAATGAGCTTTGCAGAGCGCAATTCAAATTTAGTTGGAGCTCCAATGTGAACTCCAGACATTAAATATGAAGCAAAAAAAAAAGATATTATGATTACGAGTTACGACTTACTTCTCAATAATTTAAGAATAAAAATAAGGTGAATATTATTTTACTGTAATTTATTGCAATTGATGAAATATGTCCAATTTGTGACATGGAATCTACTCAATAATTTCTTTGGTGTTCCTCGATTAATATGTCAAAAATGATTGATTTTCAGTCCCCAAGTCAAACTTGCAATTAGATGAGTTCTCTGTTTTTTTTCTTCTCTTATTTTCTGAACGGTGGGTCCAGCTTAAATTAGATGTGTTCTTTTATTCCTGATCGAGCACGTGTCTATCTATTTTTTGTTAGAAAGGTAAGTTAGTGTTAAAATATAACGTGAGAAATATATTTAGCCTGAAATATAATATAAAGTATATTTAGATTATTTTTAATAATACATGAATATATTTGGCCTTGTTCCATTTTAATTTTGAGGCTAAATCGTAAGTATTTTTTCCCCTCATGAATCATCACTTAAAATTTTAATGCATATAACTTGCTTATAAATTTTTCTTTCACCTAAGTGCTTTTTTTTTTCTTGTTGTGTTTTAATTACTAAAGTTTTCGA